ATATAGTCATGGGATGTGGAGTATAGTTTAGAAATGGAGTCAATGGAATTGTAATAGATATGTATGATATCAGGGGTGGCAGGGGAATGGATGGGGGAGGGGGATTGTCACTTTGTGAGGAGTGAAAAGGATACCTATTGCATTGTTTTGTACATCTGAAACTAATAGTAATAAAAATAAAATATAAAAAAATAAAATAAAATAAAATAAGCTTGTTAATTGTGTTAATTTTTTTTGTATTCTTAACCATTTTATCTATAAGTTAGTAAAAATATGTTTAAAATCTTTAGTATAGCAAGATTGCTAAATTATTCTGAAATTTAAAAATATTTTTTCATATATTTTGATAAATGTGTATAATCTAGAATTTTTATACATTCCTAGTTAATTTAATTCCTTATCCTGAAATAGTGACTAAACAATACTTCTATGAAACATGGGATTCACCAGGTCCCAAAAGTCATTCACATGACATTGTATCTATTTTGTGAATTTTATTTATTTTTTTTACTCAGAGTAGGGTAGTATCTAAGACATTGATCTTTGATGGGTCTTTGACAGGTTTCCACTTCATGACTTCAAGATATTTTGGAAATTCTATTACACTGGTAGTACACTTCATGTGAACAGCAATGAAATTGTCTCAAGCTAAAGAAAATTAATATAATTTCCTTCCAATTAAGATGGCAAATATTGGCATTTTTTTCAAATAGTGGGAATGAATGTCTTTAGTTTTGTTTGGCAGGGTTATTTAAGAATATCCCACCTTAAGACATGAGAATAGGTTAGATATCCTTTTATGGCATCAAGAATTTTAAAAAATGTATAAGAGCAAGTTTTAAAAATGAACTGCAGTTTCATGTTGTAATACATAACATTTGAACTCTCTTTCTCTGAGATCTTTCTACTTCAGGAGAGACCTCAGTGCTGTAAGTGTACTTCACTTCCATGGCCATCAAAAAGTGAAGGTCATGACCTCTTGAACAAAACAAGGTGAAGGAAAATTAGAATTGGGATTCAAAAGTCTTAGACATTTACTTCTTAAGCTGGAAAGACATGTAAACATGGGAGAGGAGGCTAACATTTTGGTTCATCCATCTTCTGCCATGAGTACAGAAAAAGCTATCTACAAGATGGAAAGAAGAAGAAAGCAGAATTTAGACAGAAGCATAGATGAGCTAACACATGGCTTCAGGGAGTGAGAAGGCGACGTGGGTCTTGGTGTCATTATAGTTCCTGGCTCCAGTCTCTTTGATACCAGCTGCTTTTCTTGCCCTAAGATTATTTTAGATATTCCAATAGCCTTGCAAAAACCACCCCTCCCTTTCTGACTTAAGCTACTTTGAGTGGATTTCTGCCCTTGCTGATCTGAAATGTTACCGTGCACTCTCAACTGTAGAGCAGTCTTCAGAGCAGTCGGATGGTCTTGGAATCATTCCCAGAGCTGTGGTTAGTAGTATCTGATATATCTGAAGGGGTTCTTTATAAGGGGCAGGTCCGGCATATAGGCTAAGAGTTGGGTCTACTGCACTTCGACAACTTGCTATAATCACATTGCTCTTTTGATTCTGTGCATTCCAGATGGAAGTCATAAGGAATTTTAGGTTAAACTAAATTCAGTGCTAAATAGGTTTATTGAAATTTAAAGAAACCAAACATAAGTAGGAGAAAATGTTTCAGAATGACATGATATAAACCATTACAGCCCACATTTTTCTATATAGAATGTTCTGATATTCTACTGCAACTGGTATTCCACAGCTACTTTTTTTTTTTAGTTTTCCACTGTTTTTCCACAGAAGGAAATGTTCAAAATCCAGAGTACATTAGCATTGAAGCACTTTCCTGAGAAGAAAAACAGGCTTGCCCCTGATAAAAAAGAAAAGAACAAAACAATATCAATGTCTTTCAAGGGCTCCTTTTTCAGGGAGGGGACAGAAGTTGTGGGATGGGGATGTCACAGTTTTCAAACTGGCTGTGCAACAATTTTAAGATCTAATTAGCTAGCTATGAAGATTAAATTAATTGATTCAAATACCTGAAAAGTTGCTGTTAGGTTAGGTCCCTAGGTGGGTACTTCATTTTTGTGTAAGTTATTCTTCGAATGTCCAGAAATTAAGTGATTGAGCTATTAAAAGTCAATAGATTCTATTGGCATTGTCCTTTCATTTAGTCACTCATGTATGTCTTTGAATATGTCTCGAATGTACTCTAGAAAAGCAGTAATCTTAAAAGCTCAGAATCCAGAGCCAAAATGCTTAGGATTGATCCAGGCAAAGGTTTTGTGACCTCTCTCTGTGCCTCAGTTTCCTCATCCTCAGAGTGTGAGAACAGCAATAGAACCTATCACATAAGATTGCTGTCAGGAGCAAGTGGGTTAACACACATAAATCATGCAGAATAGTGCATGGCATGGAGCAAGTGCTACATAAGTCTTAGCCTTGATGACCATTTTTGAATAGTTGGTGGCCTCTGTGGACATGCTGAGAATAGTCTGACAATTCTACCAGCACTAATGTGGAGCACACCGTAGGGAGGCCACTCACCTTGAATCTCATCAGCCATGTATGTTGGAACCTGATTGCACATGCCAGCGATGGGTCCTCCAAACTCATCCAGGTTGTTGACTGGGTTAGAGCTGATTGAGTACATCAGGCCCTTGGGAGGTGGTCCCCTTTGTCCTTCACCCTGAAGCTGAGTAGGAGAGGACAGAGGAAAAGGAAGAGAAAGAAAGAGTGGTTTGTTGAATTGAAGGTTAAGTACAAGGTCAATGGGCAGTATTGTGTGGCTATAATTTTTGCATAACCAAAATGAAGAAGAACCAATCACCACCATGTATATCTCAGATTTTCTAAGGGTCCCAAGGGATTTAGCTGGTTTGAAACCTCAGCATCTCAGAAAAGCAGAAGTCTGAGACTAAACTTATTCTGAAGCTTGGGCCTCATTTGGTCATCTTACATTTCTGGGGTTGAGCTACATGATGACCAGCTACTGAGAATGCAGTTTATTTGTTTTTTTCTACCCTGTCAAGAAAGGTGCCCATTTATAAGTTCATATCAGATATGAACTTAACCAAACATTTTAAAGAATGATGGACTCCTTCTCCCCACCCACCCCAACTGGAGTGGCCAGATATAATACAGGACACCCAGTTACATTTGAATTTCAAATAAACAAATCATTTTTTTGTGCAAGTATGTCCCAAATATTGCATAGGATATACTTACGCTAAAAATTACCCATTACTTATCTGAAATTCAAACTTAACTGGGTATCCTTTATTTTTATTGGCTAAATCTAATAACCCTGACCCAACTCCTGCGGGAAATGTCCTTGGAGAAATGCCAAGGGCTCTCCTTGGCATGAGCAGAGCTTTGTTCCTGTAACAGTCAGGGCTAGATGTTCTGAGAAGCCTCTGTAAGGGCAGGTGTGAGCCACAGCATTTGAGTGTAGTGGCAGCTACTTCTCCTCAGGCACTTACCAATCCCTCTTCCCCTTTTGTGCTGCATGCTAGAACATGCTGGGTTCAAGAGGGAAAGATTGTGATCTTGTCATTATCTACTGAAGATCATAAGAGCTCCCCTGAACAACAAATAGAAAGACTCTTATTTTTACCTTCTTTTCCTTGACCATTGTGTCCAGGGCTTGAAGAGAGGGCATGGCACCCTTGTTCATTCTGTGCACAATGCATACCTTCTTGCTAAAGAGTCTGGTTGCAGCAAAGCCCTGTCAGGAAGACGGTAGATAATGAGGCGTATGTTCTCCCAGGAGCTCTCCTCATAGAAATCAGTTTCACCAGCAGAGAGAACTGGGACTGTGAGATCACGAAGCACTGGGGTAAGAGTTCAAGAACTGATCCTGTTTTGCAATCATATTTATTGCTACCATTTGTAAGGATAAACCTCCGAGGGCAGAGGCTTAATGTCTAACTTGTTGCTTTATCTTCATGTTCTTGCACGGTAAGAGACACTCTGCATGTCCGTTTTGCTGAAATAAACTTTAAAATACGATCACATTTTAATCTCCATTGATCTTTACAACATTGCAAGGAGGCAGGTAAGACAGGATTTGTTTTCTAATTGATGAGATGATAAAACTGAAATGATAAAGATCTGGCTTTTTAAGAGTACAAAGTTTGTTAAATATGGAGCTGGTGATTGCAGAGTTGGGTCTTCTAACCAGAGCCAAGAGGTTTTTTGCTTCCCTTACTAATTAATATCATCGTTTACATTTCCTTTGGTCCTTTCGAATTATAAGTGAAATGTCAATTTCTGTCTTTTTAGAAGGAAATTGAAGATAGACTGAGATAGGCTATGCTTTGGCAGCAGTAATACTGTGAGGCTCTTTCGTCATTATGGAGGGTATCTGCAGGCAAAGCGAAAGGGTATTCATACTTGTCATCTAGCCCCATAACCCCTTGAACAGAGTGGATCCTAATGACTGTTCCCTGGTTTGAATTTTAACTAATTGTGGGAAACTTAATTACTTGCAGTTATGGCAAGGGGGTGAAACAGGGTGAGCAAAATAGCACTTTTCCTTATAACTCTATGCTTATGTGCAGTTAGAATTTTATCATTTTTGTGGTTAGCAGACACTTTTTTTGTGTGCAAAAAGAAATGTCGTATTTGTAAAGAACAGAAACGGATGGTGGCTACCCACAGTGTTGTAATCCCAGAGTGAGTGCCAGGAGTCCCAGCCGTTGTTGTTGTCCACGTTGGCCACGTTGTGTTGATTGTTGACGCTCACTGTCTGCTGCCCACTTCCACCGCTGTTGTTGTTATCGCCGATGTTGATATTCTGAGGTTTATCAAAAGTTGATAATGCTTTAATACCACATTCCTTTGCCAATACATTTTGGGAATTTACTTTAAAAAGTGAGACTTACATAGTCAGCAAAGGCAGGAGTCAGGAAGACGCCAAGCAGTCCGGCAAAGACAATCTGAAATCACAAAGAGACATCGGTCTCCTGTCATGTGGCAAAACAGTGTCCTCTTTCTTTCTCGATCCAAGCTTATGGAAAGTATTTACTAATGTTACCATTCTGTTGAGTGGTCTGTCTGTTCTTCTTTCACTGTGTATTGTTTTTAACCATAGATAGTTTTAATGATAATGTAGAATTGGAATTGTAGGTTAGTTACTTATAGTATTGGGTTATCGGAAAAATCATGACGTATTATTTCTGTTTTTCATTGCAAAAATGTATCATGACTTTTCTGAAAATACAATAATTATGTTTTAATGATATATACAGAGGGTGACCAAAAATGTGTACACATTTTAAGAAAGGAAAACTATTAAAATTGTAATACTCAATATATACTGATATACAAGTCATATTTGACTTCTGCAATTACAAGAGGTGCTCAAAGTGGTCACTATCAGCATCCAGACACTTCTGATTATGGCGAACTACTGTTTGAGCAACGTTGACAAAAGTGTCCACTTGTATACTTTTTTTTGGCAGCCCTGGTAGTTTTAGAATTTTTAATGTGGGTTTTATGAAAAAACTAATGAAGTGTTAGTATATTGAAAAATAAAGTTGAAAATGAATAGTATACATGATTTGAAAATGGTTATAAGTTCTAAAGATTGCATCTGAAAATGATTTAAGTTAATGTTCCCATTTGATCTGGAAATCAAATAAGAATGATTTCCAGATCAAATGACTGATCTGAATGCTTTCCTTCCTTCCTAGACCTCCGCATAGAAGTAGTCTTTTAATTTTTTAACTTTGTTTTAAAGCAACAGATAAGCAAGCAGGTTGGATACTGGCGCTGAGAGGCCAAAGATGGAGTGTCTGGCTGTCACATGTGGTTAGCAGAAGGCAAATCAATAACTCTCCCAGGACCTGGCTTAGTCATTTGTCACTGGGTACATGACATTGCTTATCAAAACGCAGAGCTTTATGCAGGGCGCCTGATTCTGAGTACCTGTTCTCATTTCCTTTGCCTGGGACAAAATGCCTTACGAATTGCATTGGCGAGTCAAGGTAATTTTTTTCATTAGTTTAATTTTTCTCCTGATAGCTAAAGAAGGAAGTAAACATTAGTCTCAAAAAAAAAAAGTCAAGAGGTGAAAGACATTTTAGAGAACTACTAGTACAATTCAATCCTTTCAGAGATGAGGAAATTGAGTTTCAAAAGTCACTTAAGTGACTTGACCATGTTTGTATTGGCCAAGGGTGTACCTCTTGTTCAAGGCAGAGCTAGTAGATGTCCAGGTCTGAGCTACCTTTTTTAAATAAAAAATTGTTGTTATTAGAACTTATTTCTAGATAATGATTTTACACTAGCAACTCCATTATGAGCCAGAGTCTGCTGTAATATATTTCAGTATTTAGCATATTGAAACATGTAAATACTCATCTGATTCCAGCCTCTGTGCATGCTGTTATAAGAGACACTTGTCACCACCAGTTGCTTTGGCAGAATTTTGTGGTCCACCTGCTATACTCACAGCCTTTTATCCGGAACCACAGGTGAGATGCTGCACTAGCTTCATGCTTTAGGCATTTTCACAAATAAATGACCATGGACAGGGTCCAAGGCAAATTGTTCTTATTTGGAGATCCATTTGACAGCAGAGAATGTGACAGTAAGTCTTTCACTCATTTGTTTTGATAACATGCTTTTTATCTTGCCTGAGCATACTTAGGGCTTTTGGTAAAAGAGGAATTCACGAATGTGGGGAGAGAAAAATCAGGCATTTTCTAGGGCTTGGGGACTGCTTGCTCTCTGCCCAGACTTAAATCAGGAGATCTGGAAAGTAATTTTATTAAACAGCATGATGCGAGATGCTCAGACAACTGTTTAATCCAAGCATAACTATCCTTCTGTATAAAGATGCTTATAAATGTCACAATTCCATAAAAAAAGATATATTTTTTAAACAAAAAATTCCATTACAGCAACATTGTTGTAAGAAGCAGACTCCCTTAGCTCAGAATGTTAACAGTCTCCTAATAGAAGGTAATAAATTCAAATGGGAAAATCTACTCACTGTGAACTTCATCTTGGCTTCACCCAAGCGATGGAGTGGAGAAGAAGGCAGGCATGGGCTCAGGTAAGAAGCCTTCTCATATTTGTACTTGACAGGCATTACTCAAACTAGGTGTGACCAGGTGGAGTCAAAGACTCCAAAGATAACTTCCTTCATTTTCCATATCAGTGTCATAATCTAGTGTACCAAAAAGCCTTTTGCAATATCTGCCTGGTTAGCAAGGCACTTTGACATGGAGTTAATCTGACTCATCATTTGTTGAAGCTGAAGGTATCATGACAAACTCAATATAAGTTATGATAACTTTTGGTTCAAATGATGTGTGGGTGTGGGTATTTTATATACTGATATTACTCAGATTCAGTAAAGGAATAATCCCTAAAATCAAACAAGACCACAGATGAGAAACCATGGGCACACTGGGCCTTCCAGATAGCAGCTCCTGTAAGAACATGGGAATGACTTCCTCTTCTTACCTTTACCTGAGTCCATTGTGATGGCTTTGCTTAGACTAAACATGCTCTATTAGCTACTCGCACCAAGCCTATTCTCTTTTCTTCAATCCTGAGCTCTCTCCATGATAATAGGACCATGCATCCTGTTAGACAACCTGGGGGCTGTCTTCAGCCCATTCTTCTTACCACCACATCCAGTTAGTTACTAAACCTTGTGATTTCATCTCAGAAATGTCTCTCATCTTTGGCTTTGACCATAGCTCCTCTCACCTAGACTTTTACAGCAGTTATGTAATTGATCCCTTTAGTCACCAGTCTTGGATTTCAGTGCATGACTCTGTCATGCTTAGCATCTTTCATTGGCAGCCTATGAGATAAACTTCACCCAGATGCCTTATAGTAAGGTTCTCAAAGCCTCCCTAGCTGCATCTGTCACTGTCGACCTGGGGTGGGAGGCAGACATGTAAAGAGGTCTTCTGCATTAGGGACCGTCACATCGCTGCAGAATTAAAGAGTGGACAGCACAGTTCCCTTACACCCAGTCATGGGGAGTCATTTTAGTACATGAATGAAGTGCCTACTCCACTTTTTGCATGTCATACCTTACCAAGTACTTGAGGTTGACATTTTCCACAGTGAGCCTGTGAAATGATGCTCTGAAAGATGCTCCATGACAAATACACAGAGATACAATTCAGGCTCCAATAATCCTTCTCTTAGAGATCGACAATTGCCATTCACATGTCAAATGTACTAAGAAATCCATAGGGCAGACGTCGATGTCACATTGTTTCATCCAGAATCTCCTAATCTTAAGTGACCATAGACCTTGATTGTTTTTCCTTTTTCTTCTGTTATTTTTTCTAACACCTATTAACATCCCTGGGGGACACCTTCCTTAGAGAAATGACAATTGTGCTGCACTCTGGATTTGAAAACCCATTTGGGGAGCTACTGATTGGAACTAGAAGCCAGGAGACTTATGCATAGACTCTGTCCTGCTTTCTTCATTCAATGAGTCTTTTTTGTCCTCTAGACTTTAGGTTTCCTATGGGTCAAAGAGAAGAAATTCCTCCTTTATACAATATTATTTCAGTGGCTCCAAAAATTAGAAGACCCTCATCTTCTGTGCTTGATGTAATATGTGTGAATG